TGTTTCCCTTTACAGAAATAACAAACAAATATGCTCTCTGAAGGCTCCATTGTCAAGAGGTAATTTCGGTCTGTGGTTTGAAATGCACGAAGTTGCCCTAAAGGTATCCAGTGTCCGAGGTAAGTCAGACACATTGTCATTTATAATTTCACAAACTTTTACCTGTGGCGACTCACCCCCTCTTTCATAGGCGTAGCTGGGGGGGGGATGGGGTTCACCCCCCCTTCAAATGAAATCCACCCCCCCACAGGGGGGTAGAAAGGAATTTAGTGACTGATTCTTTGCTTTGATTTTGCTTATTTTAGGTGAGATTTTAATACTAAACCATCACTTGCCCCAGCACAGCCAAGAGTTTTTGAGTTTAAAACCCCCTACCAGGGGGTTTAGAGTTTAAAACCACTTACCAGTTTAAACCCACTACCATGGGTTTTTGTAGTTAAATCCCCCTCTTCTATAAAACAAAACAAAAAAATGCAAATGACCATCCCCAAATTTCAAGAGCACAGTTAATTAAGTATTTTATTTTAAAGCTAAAATTTACGATAAACCCCCTCTTCAATATAAAAAAGCAAATTACACACTCAAAATTCTATGAGCGTAGCTAAATGGGTTTTGACTCAGTTTTGAGTTTAAACCCCCCTACAGTGGGGTTTGAAGGTAAAAAATACCTCTTTAATATTAAAAACATGCACTCAAAATTTTATGAGTGTAGTCAAAGGGGTTTTTGAGTTTAAACCCCTCTTCAGATGGGTTTGATGCTAAAAAATACCTCTTCAATATAAAACAAGGTTACAAAGACAGTTTGTATGGAAAAACAAACTCAAAATCGGCCCCCGAAGTGGTCCACCCAGGCAGGCTTCAAAATTTTCAGAAAGAACATTCAAATGAAATTATATCAAAGACAAATGAGAGGTAAGAATGGAGAAAGAAGGTTAACAGATCTTGTGTAGTGCCCCAACGGTCCAGCAGATCAAAGGATAGGTGAAAGTGAATACAAAGTTAGATGTGAACCTGGCCTAACTAGTTTCCCTTATAGACCTTGTGGTCAATAAGGCAGATGATGTAAAGTTCATCTGTTTTTGTGGCCTACGGTTAACGAGGGTGTCATGTAGCCAGCACAACGACCAACCGCCTTTACCTTTCCCCAACTACATTACAATCCAGATCCCCAACTGGCTAATGGGGGGCACAAAGACCTTTTTTTTTCAATGGGGTGGGGATGGGCGCCACTGTTGAAAGTTAGAGAAACATTGGTATAGCAGTTCTAAAAAAAAGTATCAATAATGTCTTATAAAGAAACTTGAAATATTGTTTTGAATGGGTAATAATTTAAATACCATTAGCTCAGGAATCCTATGTTTCTTAAAACTAAATCTCAATGACAATGTTTACTTTATCCCGAGGTGCAACTCTATTTAAAAGTTTGCTAATTCTCTCCAGTATACTGTGACTAATTATTTTTGCGTGGGTTGTTGCGGCACATGTGTTTCTTTGCGTTATCCTATTAGTCATGGTTCACTAATGTTCTAAATTCTTAAATATATATATACTTAAGATGTCTGGAAGATGCCTATGTCATTTTTTAATTTTAAATTTTCTTTTTTCTTTCAGTGAAATGTAATTTTAAAAATCAAAATGACACCAACAACGGACCGCCACCGCCTGCTTACCCCGCTCCACTTCCACCTCACTACAACTGCAGGAGAATATTCGACGGCAGCAACAACAACAGCGGTGGCGTCGATTGGAATGATCCACTAGGCTCACTAGCCACCAGACATCACTACTTGTCCCTGCACGATGAAGTGGGTATCTCAATACCCTTGCTTGGGGCGGACAATTTTCAGCATCCCCCAAATCTTGTTATAGAAGAAACTGACTCACAGTTGTCTCGCGAGACCAACAGCGCTTACTACTCGTCCATCGAGACCAAAAACAATCTGACCATGGCCCCTCCTTTTCAGACCTCGAACCCGATGACTTTCAACTCTGCACAATCCCATCCAATGTACAACATTTCAGTCTCAAACAGCGACATTCATAATTTGGGCAATGAACAACTTGTTCATCAACATTTCTCAAAGAACTCAGATGAAAGCGGAAGCAGCTTTTGGATTAGCTATAACCCTGGGAGTTGTTCCCACTTGCCATTGTCCTTATTCTCCACAATCCGGAACACGGAACAAATGAGCCCAGCCCCTTCCATGCTGTCAGAGGACACGCTTGGACTGGGGGAAAATCTTTTACGAAATTCTTCATTTCAGAGGAACGCGTTCAGTGATAGCGACGCCATGGGCGTTACAGGGTACCGCCCCACACCTTGGAAAAGGATGAGCACAACTTCAGATGACAATTCAGATTCGATCAGCCAGTATTCAGAGCTCACTATTGATGTCAATACCTCGGTAAAGCGTCTCGTGGTAAAATCAATGTAAACATCTGGCTGGATCATTAATTTATATACTGTTGTTCCCGACACGGATGTAGTGTCTATAATTTTTTTAATTTAACTTTTTATTTATTATTATTTTTAATATTCGTAAGTTGGGTTTAGGTGGTAGAGCAGTTGACTGCTTAAAGTCCTACGTGTGTGTCCTGGTGAAGAACCATAATACTTAACTTGTCAAAAGAAATGGTGGGCAAGCAAGCTACAGTAATTTATTCTTGAGCTGCCCCTTCAATCCTTTTGTGTCGCTGTCAAAATATTAACCCGAGAAATGGTGCAACTTGACAACCCGTTTTCATTGTACCTTGATATTTATGACAATTTGTAACATTGTTATTTTTCTCACAATAAATTTAATATATTTTTTAAAACTGTTTTTGGTCATCTACGCAAAGATTTAAAACACAATTAGTTTAATAAAACGTTCCTTTAATTGCAGGTTTTTGTAAAATAATTGTTTTTGTAATTGTTTTTTTTTATTTATAGAATTCTATAGGTAAACTTATTACTGTTTGTAAAGTTATAATCAAAAGTTGGCCTTATGCAGTCCTAGAGTGACTCTGGTTCATCTTTAACACTTTTTCATGTGCTGTGGAGCCCAATTTCGGAGAGACATTCCCGTCCACAAATATCGCAGGTCGCTTTCTTGGTACCGTTTCTATATAATGCGGTCTAGGGCTATACTCCCAAATGGTCAGTCTCAATGTCCACTGTTTTGATGTCCCGTTTTTTTACATCCACCTAACGGAGGTGGGAGTGGCCAGTTTTTCTTGAGTTAGACGCGAGTGGCCCGTAGAGAATGACTTTCGGGATGCGAATTTATAATCAAATAAACATGTCTTTAATTGTGCGAACTTTCATAGTGTAACATCAAGGGTTTGTAAATATTTGAATTAATGGCTTCAAATGAAGGATGCATGAAGATTCAGTCTCACTATTTAAGTTAGTGTTAAATGCTGATGGAGTCTCACTTTTTGAGTTAGTGTTACCTGCTGATGCAGTCTCACTTTTAGAGTTGGTGTTACCTACCGATACAGTCTCACTTTTAGAGTTAGTGTTACATGCTGATACAGTCTCACTTTCAGAATTAGTGTTACCTGCTTATACAGTCTCACTTTTAGAGTTTGTGTTATTTCACGAAGAAGTCACAATGCCTTTTGACATTCAACATCATGACATGAGATAATGGTGTGATATTTAATATTTAATTTTTTAAAAATTGGAACATTCATTTGGGGGCACCCTTCAGTGGGGTACTAGGGGGGTTTTCAAATTCTCCCCACCCCCACCATAGCTACGCCACTGGGAACAGGCGAGATATAATAACACGTATGAATAGTCTGACTACTTTCTCCCAAATTATAATAAGCTCATGTAATAAAATCTATCGAAAGAGCTTATTGCGATTACATAAGAGCAACACATTAAATAAGAGCAGCAGAGTAAATAAGAACAGCAGAGTAAATAAGAGCAGCAGAGCTACAGACTGTCTATGTAATTTGACCTATTTTTAATATTAGAACGGCTGCATTTGTGGAAGCTTCCAAACAAATTTAGTGTTTTCTAAACGGATTCAATTTTTTGGTAATATCCACACCTGTGTTGCACTCCCTTTGCTAGCGACTTAATTTCTAGGCTCCTTCTTGCTCTAGTGTAAATATTTTGAATATTTTTATTTTATATAATCAAGACCAATGAATTTAACAATCATAATGTCCTTAATGAAGATCATGTGGAACTGTAATATAATAAACACTGAAGTCTGATTGGATGGAAGAAAATGTGAGCAGTAAGTAACAAATAAACACTTTCTTATTTTATTTTAAGTTTTAATAACAAATAATGACACCGAACCCGAATTTTATTTCAATGTGGGATTTCCCTTTTTTATTAAAGATTACCAATCATAATTGCATACAAAAATAGAAAATACAAAGTACAGGTAATTTTGTTTTAGGATTTAGTGTTAGCTGATGAAATTTAGATGATATATTCCTTTCGTGGACCCCTAACGACATGAATAAGAAATATGCTCGAATGTGATAGAACTGTATGTCTTCTTTATTTGACGTTAAAAGTGCATTATTTTGTATAATATTATCTGTACTAAATTGAAAGCTCTGATCATTTAAATATAATCCTTCCATGTTGAATACATACAATATAAACACGCACATTTTGTATTGCGCGAATGTAACCTCAATATTAATAAGACTGTTGTAGCGTCAGTCGTTATTACAAAGACTTTGACATAAGGCAGCTAGATAGTTACTAAAGTACAACATTGGAATACTATTACGATGTAACAGTAACTTTTGTAAAACTACAATAACGATGCTCTTATGTTCAAATAGTAACAAACTCATAGGCCTATATTTTATTTAAAAATGTATCAGATATGTTATGTATTTTTACATTCAAGTTATCTTTGATTCTAATAATTATAATATAATACGTATAAAGCAATATTTGAAAAAGTTAAAAAACTTTGTTAAGATATTTGTCTTACTATGTTGTTATGCTACTATGTTGTTATCTTACTATGTTGTTATCTTACTATGTTGTTATGTTACTATGCTGTTATCTTACTATGTTGTTATGTTACTATGCTGTTATGTTACTATGTTGTTATGTTACTATGTTGTTATCTTACCATGTTGTTATCTTACTATTTCGAGGATTATTTTGAAGAGACATTGGTCTCATTCCCACCCAAATACAACGACGACGTTTAGTTGGCATTTGGTTTGGTGGTAGAGGAACCAGCCATCATTCGTTTGGCTCCAGTGCTGAATTCATGGCTTTTGTTTTTGAATGTATATACTATATAGCCTTCTTTGTTATCAACTCTTTAAATATATTAACTACTATTTATGAATGAGATTGTAACGCCAATTCAGACATGCAAACAAAAGGCCATGTAGGTTCAGAAAATGTCAGTTTACACAATAAGGTCAGTGATATGACCAGTTTCCGGGTGACATGTATTATCGCAAGTGTAGCTCTCTAAACCTACAGTATTGCTCTTATTAGTCTACTATCTACTTGATATATGTAAACAGTTAGTCGACGTGGATTTGTTATTATACTGTGGTGTTCAACCAAATTGTGTTCTATCTTATATACTGCCATTTTGTTATATGCCAATTTTTAAATGATATGAACTACACACTCATAGTAAAATCAGACGGTGTTCAGCCGAAATGTAGTTGTTTTTCTCCTGCCATATATAAACATTTTATAAAATTCTTTTGAAATGTTTTCATTATTTTTGAATGATTTTTTTAACACTGTGATTAGATTTTAGAATTGCAGTATAAATAAAATATCTACATATTATAAACTGTTTTTTGTTTAGTTTTTTTAAACACATTTTATAGATATTCTATACATTATAGATTATATAGTGCTGTTAGCACTGTGATAAGCCTTCTGTCTTGTAGTTATTGATGCCTGTCTGACTTCGACAGATTACTCTGGAGATGTCTGAGTTTCTTGCGCGGGGTGTATTCAATGCGACTAACTAACAAGAACATAGACTCACACAAAGTAACGAGTGAAGATACTAAACCGTTAGACAATTCAGATGATGGTTTAATACTCAAAAGGCCACAGTCGAATCTCTGTCTATAAATACGTGTTATCCCCAAGAAATCCTATCACCAACTGACCTTATGTCTCTTGGTAGCCTCTAACCCACTAAGTCAAAATGTAACTAATCGCGTTCAAAGTCCGTCAATTATGGTGCATCTCTATACAAACTACTACTAGTTGATTGTCTCACATCGTCATACACTCTCTGAATGTGGGCAAGCGTTATTAAACAAGAAGAATATCGAATATTAAAACAACAACAACAAAAAAGCCTACACAAAGTCACATTGCATCAATCATTTGGAATAATTCATAAACATTATTTTTTAATAAATCTAGACTAACAATTATAAATGTGTGTGTGATTGGAATTATTTTTTGCCAGCGCAACTTTCACGCTTATAGCTTGCTTAGTGTGCTATGGTCCAATAAAATTTGTGAACCAGTTGGGAGGTGTCTGTGGAAGGATTCCGTGCTTCCTTTTCAAAAGCAATTTTTACAAAAATTCTAACTGGAGCCTCAACGATGGAAGTCCGACGTTCTAGTCACTGACCTATTCAATTACTATAAACATTTTAAAGATATTATAGACTTTTGTCAAGTAAAAAGTTTTTGGCAAACAAACTTATTCTCTGTAAAGGCTTGGAAAATTTTCTATTAAAAATAACATAAACTAATTGATGAACTACGTGCTGCATCACTGAATTGACTCCTTCGCTGTCATTGGTCTAAGAATGGGGAGTGGGAAAAAAGGGTGTAAAAAGTTTTGACCAGACAGAGAGGGAGAGAGAGAGAGAGAGAGTTTGTTAATATATGGTTCGTAAAACCAAAATAACGTGGGTCTTGAAATACACATTTTAAAAAATGGAAGATTTTCAGATGTATCACTATTGGGGACTGGTTCAAAACAGTTGGAGTAAGACAAGGCTGCCTACTTTCACCAACACTCTTCAATATCTTCCTTAAAAGGATAATGGAAGATGCTCTCGAGGGCTATGATGGTACTGTAAGCATTGGAGGAAGAAGAATTACTAACTTGCGCTTCGCAGATTACATTGATGGCTAAGCAGGGATAAAAGAAAAATTTGCTGACTTGGTGATGCGCATTGACAAGACTTTCGCAGCATATTGTATGCAAATAAATACTGAAAAAACAAATTATGACCAATAGCCAACAGGGCTTTAAAAGGGGCATCAGTATTGGAGGTGAAAAGCTGACTAGTGTTAGCAGCTTCAAATGCCTCGGAACTATTGTCTCAGATGAGGGAACGAAACCTGAACTACTGGCCCGAATAGCACAGTCAACAGCAGTCCTTTCAAAACTTATAATAATAGGGAAAGACAAAGGCTTAGCCCTCGGAACCAAAATCAGACTGATGGGCTCCCTAGTCATGGCCACATTTTTATATGCTTGTGAGTCTTGGGCGCTGACTGCAGAGCTAGATAGGAGGATCCTAGCAATGGAATTGAGATGCTACAGAACGGATCCTAGGTATCACATTCAAAGACCGCATCACAAACCAAGAGATTAGAGACAGGGTTACTGCAGCGATTGGACCCCATTATGACCTGCTAACTATCGTAAAAAAACGCAAGTTAAAAATCTATGTCCATATTACAAGATCTTTTGGGCTTGCAAATACTTTCCTTCAGGGAACAATACCAGGAAAAAGAAGAAGAGGCAGACAGAGAAAGCGATGGGAGGACAATATAAAAGAATGAAAGGGGCTGCCATTGAAAGAGGTTCAAAAAAAGGCAAAAAGACAGAGAGGAATGGAGAAAAACGGTTAATGAATCTTGCGTGGTGCCGCAACGTTCCAACAGACTAAGGGATAGGTAAAGGTAGGTAAAAGTAGAGGTAAATCACTATATACCCGATATTTAGGTTTCGTCATGTATACTTCTGTAATCGCTAGCAAGTAAAAAATTTCTTTAGCTTATATCTGGTTTCTGCTTGGTCATTGTTTATAATTATGAAAATGTAAAAAAAAGTCTGTAATGTAAAGCCCAGTCTGGGTAGGGATAAGCATAATGTCAAAATTAAGATTTTGTGTTAGAAAATACATTAGTCTTTGCAATAAATTTTTATTAAATGAAAGCTGACGATGGCGTTTTTTTAATCGCATGTAGGATTGGCACCTCAAAATGTCAACTTTGCCTATTTTTCAAGAGATTTTTATGAGTTTTTAGGTGATTTTAATAATTCACAGAGCCGTACTACAAACATAGATGTAACATAAGCATAGAAGAAAAAAAAATCGCAAGAAGAAATCTATTAATATTCATATATTTAAAAAAATATATTTGTTTCGCTAGAACTATTACTTTTAAAAAAAAAAAAAATAAAGTTCCCCTTTCAGACCTTGTGGTCTATAGGGCAGATTACGTAAAGGTCATCTGTTTCAGTGGCCTACGGTTAACGAGGGTGTCATGTGGACAGCACAACGACCAACCACCGTTACTTTGTCAGGTACTAATTAGAGGTGGTAGGACTCAGAGGTGCCTAAGGATTCCGAAATAAAAAATCCCAGTCTTCACCAGGATTTGAACCCGGGACCCCGGTTTAGAAGCCAAGCGCTCTACCGCGCCTCCTTTTTACAAAAAAAGGAAGTACTACGAATGACAGACTCATACAGGATACGACTTCAGATTTCGACTCGTTTTGATGACACTTTGTAGGAATGTTGTTAGATTATTGCGGAGGTCGTATCTATGCTGAGCTCTTTTGCGTCCGACTGGCATCAAATAAAAATTCTATGAAAGTTTTTGAAAACCACAATTAGATATTTAGAAAAAATATAAGATAGGGGACATTACCCGTAGCTGTAAAGAATGAGAGTTTGAAAGGCAATTTGTTTCCCTTGAAAATTAACCGAACATTCCGTTTTTCTTATCACGTATGTGAATTTGTTTAACGTGTTGTTGTTGTTGTAAAGCTGAGTCTGATTACAGAACATTGTGTGCATATTTAAAAGACATGAATATTTAAATTAGTATAATTACCAGCTAGTAAGTACAAAAAGTACTGTGATAATACTACACTTATAATGAAAACTACACATGTACAGATAGTCTTACTTGCTCGAGCCCATACTGGAAACCTAATACTAGCAGCAAACAAATAATTAGATCGAGGGCGTTTTCTTACAAAGCTTGTATTAACCATGTCGGTCTGTTTAAAATCTTGAACATATAATTTCTTTCAAACCCATTCTCCGATCAAACTGAAACTTTAAACAATTATTTATTTTACCAAAAAAGGCAGCGCCACATGATGCCATCAAAAAAAAAAAAAAAAATATCCAAGGCCTTTTTTTTTTTCGTAGAATGTGTATTTAATGTTCGAGTGTTATTAATGCTTAAAAAGAAATTATAATAAGATAATAAAAAGAATATTACGTTGGCTTGTAAAGTTATCAACAATATTATCGAAATCAAGTCGGGCTTCGAACCCTTCATGAACCACACATTCCATTAAAACAGTTTAATGATTGAACATCTGGTTAAAAATGTTGTTGTGTCTTTAAAAATTTCTGGACAACGAAGACCTCTGCTTCAAGGCTGTAGATATCGATCACACGAATGTGTGCCCATTATCCAGGGGAAAATGTGGGCATGATATAATGAAACCTATAGAAAAAAAAAAGAGAAAATAAACAGTGGAATAGAAAGAGAGATCAAGGACACTCTGTTGAAAGATCGCTGTGGATAAGCTACATGGATAACTTACAATGTGACACGCTATCCTGGACAACTATTAAACACAGACTCAAATAACGAAGCTTGTTTCATGCACTTTGTACTATTTTTAAAACTTATTCGTGAAATCGTTCAGCTCATATTGAACAATGAACATTCTAATTACTAGTGATGGGAACTAAACTAATTTAGTTCCAACTACATGAAAACAAAGTTTGAACTAAAGAAAAGTAATTGAATAGCGCAAATTCTGAGGTTTCCTTTTTAAAAAAATTAAACTTTCAGTTAATCACAAATTGAAAAAATTAGTTACACTAAACTAAGAAACATTAGTTAAACTTTTACTAACTATTTTGACCTTTTTTAAGGACGAAACAGCCAAACATGGAAAATATAAAGCACAACCAATCTCTGTTGCTAAATGTAATAAACATTTATTTGTGCACATGAAAAAATATTTAAATGCCTTTATGGGATAGATGTAGATCTTAATAGAATGATACTATTTTAGAAAGAAATTAGAAGTAATTGTCCAAGTTCTAATATAAGTTACCTTTAGAAGTAATGATAAAACTGCATGTTGACTCTCTAACTAACTCTAGATTCTAGAATATTCTGGATCTAATATCTTTTACAAACGAAATGATCAGAAATATAATCTGGATCTAGAATTAAATCTAGCTACTAGACCTAGATCAAATAATTATTTTAATCTAAAAATAATCTAAGAAATACTAGTTACTACTACTACTACTAATAGATCTAAAATTTAGATAGAGTCTAGTAGATATCTTAGTAACTCTAGATCTAGAGATTTTAGATTATTATAATTATGATTATAACTAGATATGGGTATTTAGATCTATATACTCTAGTACTACTAGTAGATAATACTAGATCTAGATCTAATTATTATAGATCTGGATAGTAGAAATAAGTATAATTATAATAGAAGTAGATCTAGTCTAGATTTAGTTAATTTAGTATTAGATCTAGATCTAATATAGTGATGACTATTATTAGTATTATAGTCATTATACATCTATCATCT